CAAAGGTAATGAAGGAGACCATTCAGCACTGACCATGTGGAGTCCCAGAATGCACATGCAGAGCGGTGATTAGCTTTACTCTTCTTCATCCATGCGACACGTTAAGATTTAAATAAATAGGAGGAGCAGAAATCTGTCTCAAGAGAACATGCAAGATATGAAGTACCCAATAATATCTGGGACAATAAAAGCTGGTAAAAACCTGTAACACACAAAAGTACTATATATATGTGTGTGTGTGTGTGTGTGTGTTTGTGTGAATATATATAACTTGCAGCATGATTTCTCATAACTGACGGTGAAATTTGAAAACTATATTTCCCAGTATAAAAATAAATATTGAAATCGAATATTCTGCTATAATTTAAAATTTACACATCACCACACAAAAAGATATGATATCAAAGGCATTGGATGTGGCTTTCAGAGGATATAATCAGTGATGTGTCAGCTGTTCTCCTTTCGCGCCCAGATCTGAGCAACATTTGTCCTTATCGTTGTTCTTCTGAATATCAAGCTCCATCTGAAATCTTTGTCATACTGGAAAAAATATAGCAATAATTGTTATAGATGTAGCATTAAAAGAGTGTTTATACTGGCTACAGTAGCAATCCTCCAGAACAGGGCCAATGGCTATCCAGAGGCATTGGCACCCATGCGTTGAAATGTTTTGTATTTGTATAGTTCATGGTGTAGGACATAAAATCCAGACTGTAAAGTGTGGAAATCAAAGGATGACCACCTTTTATTATTTAGAAAAGTATATGTGCACCAAAACATCAATAGTATGCTTTAAAAACCCTCTTTTCAGCTTTAGTAGTCCTGAGGAAATTTCCTTCAGAGTTTTAAGATATTTTATATGATGCAATACTCTGAAGTGACTCTGCAACTATCCGCATACACCCAGAGCCTCAAGTGACTTTGAAAATATACACAGGGTGACTCTGCAAATATCTACATGCATACAAAGACCTTTGAGTGACTGTTGTGGATATCTGGGTAGCGCAGCAGACATAAAGGTACACCACAGTCAGAGTCATACTTAGCTGAAGGTGACTCGCGACTGTTGAATGATTCTGCTCAGGACTCCCCAAGGTGGGACCCGAATTAAAATAGCATTGAACCTTAATGCCGTGACCTCCGTGACCCAATATTAAAATTTAATGATCTGTAATATTAGTTGGGAGACAGAAGTAAGCACACTGTCACGAGGACTGTCATATCGGAATGCATCATCGCACCAACGGCATTACCCGGCGGACTCATCCTTTTTCACAGGTTTCGTCAATTTTCACACAAATTTCTTCAGAAAATGGCAGCCTGTGAATTAAAAATTTATTGTTTTCAACAAACTGACATCCCATCTAGGGTGTACCGCAGCCTCACCCCCCTGTGCTACTAGGAAGATGCTCCAGGGTCCCCATGCCCCTGACCAGCAAGTGCACGGAAGATGGATGGATGGATGGATGGATGGAACAATTTCCCTGATATTCAGTAAATATCTGCTATGTGCATGTTTAACTGAAAAATAATCCAAGGGTCATATATTTACAAGTTTAATAAGATATATGAAATCTTGCTGGTAATTTTATATATTTTTGGCAATAACCTTAGACTGCTGTTTAACATAAATTAACACAGGCATAAAACTTTGCAGGTGAAATTTAAGGAAAAAAAAACTGCTGTTATTACTACAGTGTAATGTTAATAGCATCGACTGTTGAGTTAAATTACAACTGTATATAACTTTATAGTTCATTTTTTATTCGGAAAGGTACCAAATAATAGATCCCATGTAAATACAGTACAATAACACCCAGCTCAAATTTGCTGCATATTACAATAATTTTTTAGATTTCAAAAAGTTTTAGATCTGTCATGCATTTCACATATTTTATTTATTTTTCTTTTAGGATCTTTGAGTGGGAAAACATTTTTCCTGCCAAGAATGTATGGTGCTGCATGTTCCAAGTTTAGTTTATAAAGGCAAACAATGTCAATTTAAGCTTGTTTCTGTATATTTATTTCTTGTCAGTTCAAATTATTCAGAATATTAGGCCAGTTTGAATGAAGCACCTCTGGCATCATTCTATAGCAGAGAAAAATAGTTTCTGATCTTGAATGCTCTCCAAGACGGGATGTGGCTGTGAAAATATTAAATGTTAAATGTCAAAGCAAAACAACAAAAATTATCCTAATTTGATTTTTTATTACCAGACAATAGCTTTTTTATCTAATGGAAATTGTACGGGATTACACCTTTCACTTTGTACAAAAATAATCTCCTTATGACATTACAAGGAGCCATTTCTATTTTTTCAACTACATTCCTGCTTCTAATATGTGAATGACTATTAGAATGCTGCCAACTACCAACCAAGTTCCACATACAAGGAAACTTATCCATCCATCCATCCATCCATCTTATAACTAGATATCCTGGTCAGGGTAGTGGGGGAACAATGTATAACCATTTTATTAATATGTAAATGATGTCAAATATTGCAAAAACCATTGGAAAACAGAAAATACACAACAATGAAATGCTTTTTGAAACAGTAAGGGAATGATTGAGAATTATCTTCTTTTTTAACCTCTGGTACATATTTTGAATGAAAACTTAACATATGGTTTTTAACCCTAGATTCAGCACATGAACATACAGTTTGATCGGTTAAAAAAAAAAATCATAAACAGCATGAAAATTTACCTGAAATTCTAGCCACCATGAATCTCCAAATATTGCACAACCAGACACACACAGCCACACACATACTTATATTCCTATCATTATGGGGACATTCATTTCTATGGACATAACCCTAAACCTAACTATGACAACCCTAACCCCTACCCAGCCCTGACCTTAACCATAAATAACTAAACAAAATTCAAATTTTGTTTTTTTTTTTACTTGCATTCAGAGATTGTTATTCAAACACTGGGGACCTAAAACGTCCCCCCAAGCCAAAAAGTAGCAGGTTTTACCACATTGAGGGGACATTTGATCCCCACAATGTGATATATACAAGCCCCCATGCACACAGCGTCCCTTACAAAAGCTCCAAGCTGGAGAATGACCCCGCAGTTCCCCTGTCACCACAGTCACGCCTTGTTCCTGCCGTTTCCTAGGGCTGGGCATGCACAGAGTTATATATACCCTGCAGACACACAGCCTCTACAGCTCTGACCACAGACGCCTAAAGAGCCAAGAGTGTGTGTGTGTGTGTGAGGCGGGGAGGGGGGCTCCCTGCGAGGGACATGAGGGAGGGGGTACGTGGGAAAAAATAGTCAGACGACTCCCTAACACCAGCAGAGCGGCACCTGACCCCAAGGCTCGGCCTGTGAGGTTCCTTATTAAAAGCGGAGCGAGCCAAACAAAGCCGGCCCTTTGTAACTATATTCATAACCCCTGCGAGGGGCCGTCGGGCCCCTGTCTGGCAGAAACGGCCCTGTGTGGCGGCGGCTACAATGGGCCGAACGTCTCATCTTCCCACAAGGTGGCCGTGCAATATGGAGGCTGCTGGGGTCCCCATAGGAATCCCTGACACAGAAATCAATCACTGTGACGTTCCGGAGGAGTTAATCATTTCAAATACAATGGAAAAAACGGCGGGCACTTACGAAAAAGTCATTAGAAACTCTTAAACTTTGTCATATGATTTGTTCCTCCTATAAATTCAAACCGTATTTCAATATTAAAAATGGGTTATGGAAGAAACCGTATTTTAATAAATAAGCTTTAAGAGTCATTTTCTTTATAGTTTGTCTCTAGTTCCTGCTATAGGTAAGAAGGATGTGCCGTGTGAATACCGAGCTGACCCCTGCTCCTTTACCTTAAACAGCGAGGCGATAAAGGCATCAGTCTATGTGTACGAAGTCTATGTAGCACTCGGGGTAATGTGGGGATAACAGTCCCGGGCGCCTTCTTCACAAAGGCGATCCTTTCACAGTGCATCTCTCCCCAAGCTCATATTTTAAAAATACAGCTGAAGAGACTTGTGGCCAATTATTTCAATTTGCAGAGAAAGGGCAAGAGATGTTGAAAGAGGTGAATGTGGCCGTGGCTGCGGGAACCCGGCTGCTCTGAAGCATGTGAACGGTCACCGCTACAATGACCTCTGACCTCTGTCTTGTGAATCCTTCTGCCCTTTCCTAGTCTGACATGGCTCTCTTTTTGTGTTGTTTAAGATGGAACCTCAGGCCACTTAATCCTGTTGTTTACAAGGTGACATGCCCCACTTGTCCATTGTCAGTGTTTGGTGGCCTACAGATTAAGACCCTGGCTAATAGACTGAACGCAGGAGGTCTTCTGCTTGAACGTACCTTAGACCTTATACTTGTGGTTATAACTCAAGAAATGATCTATACTATTAAAATATAACGTTTAAATAGTTCTATGGATAATAGGAATCAGTAAACAGGGGTAAAATGTGAGAAAGACCTTTGACATTGTTGTTTAGTAGAGACTGAATGACAGACACATTTAGCCAAACCATGGAATGACACTTAATGGTAGATCATCTAGCGAGCATTGATTTTACAAACTGAGGACGGTGTGTTGTGGTGATCAGCAATGCAATATCTAAAAGACACACTTCAAAGAGCTGGAAATGTCCCTGAATAAGTCAAGTTATGAATGACCCCCTGATAGCGACGTCCAACTTCCACAAAACACTGAAATAATGGACAACTTATGACTGCTGCACAGAGGCAGAATTCAATAGTTGCACATATAAATGCACAAGAAAACCAATAATAAATTATAATAGCAGCGGCCATTTTCTCCCTAAAAACGAATTAAAATTGAGCAAAAATATTCTCCGTAGTGCGTAAAACAGAATCTCAATCTGTAAAATAGAGAAAAAAAGAAAAAAAAGTCAAAGTATGTTGTGTAATTTTTTTTAATTAGAACATTAAAGGAAGCGGAGGCACACCTAGTGAAATAAATGTACTCGTATTTTCATTGTGTTCATACATACATTTTCAAGGTCAGTCTGTTTTTTTTTTTTGAGCCCGTGTGTTTAAAAATTTTCAAAACACCCAAATAAATTCAGGCATTAGAATGAAAACATAATTGATGATATATGCAATTATTCGGTTAATAACAGAGAGAAGCAGAAAAACTTTATCACACAGCACTTGAACTTGTCCCAAGGTTATTGCCTCAGCACGAAAATAAAAGATACTTTGTCCAGCCCACTTTCATTTTTATATTTCTGTTTATTCATTTTGTGGGTTGTAAGCCTTGAACTAAATTTGCTTCATGGCTACCTGTATTTTTATATATGCTCTTCCCTTTCATTCTGATTTCCCTCTTATTTGTTCCCAGCCCCCATTCTCTTTCCTGTAACCCTGAATCCCACACAGTCCCACTTTGCTTGGATGAGGGCTAACAAAGGCCGTTAGTGAAGTTTGAGGAAACAGGTAGGGCAGCAGTTAAAGACACACGTACTTTGGACGTGAAGATTACACTTCCGCGGTGGCTCTGTCGTCACACACTTGTGCCAGGCACTCAATGTGAATAGCTTCACTATAATGTTTATATAATAATATAAAGTTTTAAGGACAAAAACTATAAGTGCTGTCTGAGAAACTTAATGCAGGGTAGTTATGGCCGGCATACTCTGCTGGTACGGAATCACTCAAGGAATTATTTACGTCATCGGTTAGCGATTGGCATGCTAAGTGACTTTAGCAGACCACCATAAAAGCCTTCAGAGAGGGTGTGAAAAAAACGCAGCATTGAAACAAGCACCTGTTAACTATGAGGTTAGCTGAATGAACACACTGGCTAGCAAAATACGAGACCATCAGCAGAGCAGAACCAGCTGGATTGAAAGGTGTCTGGGACATTCATGCAGGCAGTCAGTCGTCCAGGCTGCTTCAGAGGGGTCAGAGGTTAAATGGCTGATGACTGCAGGGTCATGGCCTTTGATTGAGAATAAGCCCTCATGTGCAGCTTGTTCAAATAGGCGGCCATGTTTAAGCACTCCCCTGGGTGAGGCTGAAAATGAGGAATCCATTGACAATCCAGCAAATGTGGGGTTAAGTAATCAGTGGCAACCACTATGATGCTATGCATTATTATGGCAAAACTGAAGAACAGCTTAGCAAACAGGCTAGACACACACACACACACACACACAGGATTATAATTATATCTTTGTGGGGACTCTCCATTCATTTCTATTGGGAAAACTCGAATCCCAACATAACAACCTTACCCCCAACCTTAACCATAAGTAATCAAACAAAATACGAGACTTTTGGCATTTTTACTTTTTTGATTGTAGTCACACATCTTTGTGGCGACCTGAAAAATGGTCCCCACAATGTAATATAAACATAATCCACATACACACACACACACGTATGTGATTAAATATATAGGCTAGTTATACATGCACAGGCAATTGATTTAGTCATCATTGGTATACTGCTGAGAAATATCTACCGATATTCAGTTTTCCTTCTTGCTAATATTTGTTTATTCCCTATCTTGTAGTGTTTCTTTACTTTTCATTAGAAGGCAGTTGTGCCGCTGTAAAATTCATAGGAAAAAACTGAGAATAAAGGAAAGTTGATTTTGAAAATACTACAAAACTTACATAGGTAGTCATTCTAACAAAAACATATTTAATTTCTAGATAACTATGAAAATATCAATTACAAAATGCATTTGTTATATATGTATTTATCCATCATAATTCTCTATTTATCATTTTTCATCATTCGTTATAAAAATAATCATATAAAATATACTATAGCAGACCATAAACAATAACTGAGCAGTCACATTTCTTAAAATTAAATATGTCAATTAATTAGTACAAGATAAACAATGAGAGAAATGCATGTCTAATTTCTAAAAAGCTCTGGTATATAAACCATTTCTTTGAATAGAATTGAAGTGTTTTTAAAAAAGCTTTGCCAATTTTTTTAAATCAGTTTCAGAAATGGGTGTAACATTGTTAGTCATATGGCTTGGACAAAAATTGTAAATTCGATAAACATCTAACCATCATCATCGTCATGATCATTGTCATTGTTGTTTGTTGTTCTTTATCTCCTCAACATTGCCTTTCTTATTATTACAGATTCTGGAGTATAAAAATGCAGTTGATGATGAAGCAAAACATAGAGCCACTTTAGATGTTGGAGGTCCCACAGTGAGGTCCAGGCCCATGGTCCTCTGGTGTCCCAATCTGCTCCGCCCGTCAACGCTGGCGCCCGAAGCCCAGCTCCCCCCCCCCAATGGTTCTCCAGCTTGACCCCAATGGCATGCGGGGCCAAGCGGGCACTCGGGGGGCAGCCGCGCCAAAAGGCCCCCAGAGCCCGGGCTTGGGGGCCCTACTTACCTGTGGTGACTTTCATCTGCGTCCAGCATGCCAGCATGNTCTGCTTTTTTTTTTTTATCCCCCTGCAATAGAGAGCTGGAGAGTTGGGCGGGGGTGTGGGGGGGGGGGATGTAACACAGAAGCATGAGGGGAGGGTGGG